AGAACCCATAGTCAGAGTAGAAAAAAATAAAAAATGCTTTTCCTTTGTCGATCTATATAAAAATCTTATCTTCCTTGATGTCCTAAATAGTTTGACACCATTCTATTGATAATATTGCTTTATACAACTTCCAAGAATCCGATACTCCCTCCAATCCATTTTATAAGATGCTCTTTCCTTTTTGGTCTATTTCAAGAAGATTGACACTTTCTTATATTAAAGCTATGTGATTTTAACAGTGTCATTTAACCCTTGATGAAATGCCCTTATAGGAATGACATGACATGATGCAGACACAAGAATTTAGGAGTATTGAATTGTTATATATTTACCTTATGTATCAAGCCTTTCTTTTGCTTCAAAAACTCTATGTCCAGTCATACATCATCATATAAAATGAAACACAAAGAGTAGGTTTTCAATGATTAATCCTTTCTTTCACTACTATACTACGACTATTAATATAACATAAACCTTCCAGACAAACATGTCATATAACATGAGTCCAAATGGAGTAAATTTCAGGGGGTTACCTGAAATGGCAAGATCCTTGAGAAGCTTCCACGACTCAGTATCGCGCCAATCTTGGACCAAAGATTTACGCTGAAGGTTCTGAAGAACGTCCCTTAGCTCGCGCTGGAAGTTGTCGAAGAGGGTAGGATAATGAGTACAGGCCTTCAAACAAATAGCTTCAAGACCAAGAGGCATAGGTATAGCATTAAGATAAGGCTGAGCTTGAATAACAAAAGTCAATCCTGGTTCCATTCTCTGTTTAACCTCAGTAAACTCTCCCTGCATCTCTGCTGTAGCAAAATCTGTAGCCATAGCTTTCATCCCTTGTGATATCCACCTCACAACACACTTACCCAAATCTTTACGCCCCATTGGGTCACCATTTTCATTCAATGCTCGCACGTTAACCGGCCCACTATCCCTCTCCTCTTGTGAACATTCTTGGTTTTTCTCTGTCTTTTTTCCCAATGACCCTTTTGTTGTAACTGAAGGAATATCACTAGTTTTAACATTCTTGGGTTTTCTTCTCCTGGGACTGAGGGACTTAGTGCCACTACTTGAGCTGGCTTGAATATTGTAATTTGGGAAAGATATGGAGGAATCAAGAAAGATGCGATTTTTGGGGTTGGAAAGAGTAACAGAGCCAAAGAAAGAAGAAAGATTGGATCTTTTTTTATAGAAGCGGAGAGTGAGGCAGCTTGGAGCTAAAGTGGAGATGCTGCCACAGGAATTGCATAAAGATTCCATCTTTAGTAGTTTCACTTGCATCCTGAACTCAGAAAATACTCAGATCAGAATGCCATTGATGAAGTAGAAAAAAAAATCAAGATATCTAGGGATGGAGGCAGTTAATATAGGAAATTAAGATACAAGTGAAGATTTTTAGGGTAAATGGTGTCGTGGTGAAAGGAGAGGCTGTGAAAGCAATGGAAAGTCGTTATCTAAGAAAGGGTCCAAGTAGTATTTTGTGAGAGAGAGGATCTGAACACGTCTTTCTATTGGGTATTTGAGATTCTATAGTTAAAGAGGGCTTGTGACCTCTGTTTGTCCAACGTGTTCATTTTCTGTCCTCTTAGCCGCTGAAAAATGCTGTGGAGAATGTGGACTCGTTTTAGGGACGGAGATTCTTTAGCTGCCCCTTTGGAATTTTCTTGTTTTTAAACCAACAGAGTTTTGATCTAAGCTCCAATTGTCAAAAAATAAACAACCTTCAACGCTGTCTTTATCGCATGAGTAATAAATAGGTTTAACAAATATTTTGCCATCCAACTTGGTAACTAAATTCCTTTCGGACACATAATGTTTAGAGAAATATTTATTTTTGGCCTTTCCCAAAAGTAATAACCAACAATATATATATTTTTTGTATATATGTGTATTATATTAAAAAAATGGAATACATATTTTATATACTTTTTGACTACATTAGTTACATCTAACCGGCCAGTTTGTATTTTGCCCGAATGTTTACACAGCAAATCTTCCCCAATCTATCTTCTACCCACCTCTTACAACTTGTTATGACACGCATCAATAATATCGTGACACATGTCATAAACTTAAAAAAAAATCACAATTCAAGCGAAATTTAATAGCCAAATTTTGTTAAATATTTGATGAAGAGCAACCGGGCTTATTTTCGACAAACTTAGATGACCAAAACTGTTCAGGAGTAAGTTTGAGGAATCAAAATTGTGATCAACATTTTTCTAGTATTTCAGAAGACTTGGGCCTTCTTTTGAGCTCCATATGTGATTTCCTGATTACGGCCTTAACATTATGACATTTATATATGATGTCCTTAATCATAACAGGTAAAAGCCAACATAGAACAAAAGAAAAAGTAAGATACTCATTAGTAATAGAAAATAACTACAGAATTAGACGAAGCAAAATTACATTATCTTTTATTGTTCGTCCCTTCCTCTTTTTCTAATGGTCTCGAGCGCTTTCCACTGTCAATGATGACGAAATGTTCATTGAATACCTCATTTAAGTGTGAGTAATAGTTTTACAATCATAAGCTGAAGATTTATCTGCATTTATCGTCACTAACTTGGTTTGCAGCAGAAATTCGTTCAAACATGAAAAAAAGACCTATAAATTCATGATATTCTCGTAGCTAAAAATAAGGAAATTTTATCTGAATCAAATGGCTTATGAATGAAGAAAAAGAAAGAGAAATGAGATAAATAGGATTAGAAGAAATTCAATGATGCAACAAAAGTCAAATAATTTATAAGCATTCAAACATTGCGATTACTTTTTTATTTAGTTCGTATGAGATTAATTTAGAGGAGTAGCACCTCACATTCATTTTCTAATACTTTTAATGGTTTCATAGACAGACCCTTTTGTTGACGTAGATTTTCAACTCAAAGTCAAAACTACAACAACACAAAATGAATCTCGAAAGCTATTGGTAGTGGCCAATTGGATGTTGTAGTGGTTGAGAGTGCTTGACTCTTTTCTTGCTCGTGAACGTGGCTCTTACATACGCTAAAAATTAAAAGACGTTATTTAGCTATACTTTTCACCCACACCAAAAATGAGTTTTGTCTTGAGATATCACTCGTCAGTTTGTTAGAAATATCTTGAGCTATCACAATTTTCATAATAGAATATTGTTGGTATGCAAACAAAGTTTCACATCGGTATCGGTAAATAAAAAAATTAAGAGTTTATATATTGGTGTAAAGATCTCTTAATGGAGTGAGACTTTTTAGAAAGAATCGTAGGGATTTTTCCCGAAACGGCATCATCGTTAGATGCCATGGCTATCAAAGAGAGAGAGAGAGAGAGAGAGATGAGTTTAGAAGAAGAGAGAGTTTGAAGGAAGAGGAGAACAAATCGAGAGAAATGGAAATGAAATATGTTAAGTTTCTATTCAATGTGCATTGTATATAAACTGCAATTAATTAACTTCTAACCACCTAACTTTTAACTAACTAACCTTACACTTAACTAACTAACTATACACTCTACATTTAAATCTATGAACTAACTATGGTTAATTAACAGCTTGTAATCATTTTAGTCAACACTTTCCCTCAAGCTGATACGCTAAACAAATTCTCAACTCCAAGCTAGTTAAACAAATGATCATGTTGTGTCTTACTTAGAATTTTAGTAAATAAGTGTGCCAGCTGATCTTATGTATGTGTATATTCAGTATGTAACAGTCCTTGGCTGATTTTTTCTCTACCAAAGTGGCAGTCTATGTCGATGTGCTTTGTCCTTTCAAGGAATATAGAATTAACTGATGTATGTATTGCAGTTTTGCTATATGATATCATCTTTATTGGCATCTGAATGTTCACTCCAAGTTTGTGAAACAGGCCTACCAGCCATGTGATTTCTGCTGCACAAGCAGCCATGCTTCTAAAATCAGATTCTGCTGAACTTCTTGAGACAGTATCCTGTTTCTTGGACTTCTAGGATACCAAAGACTTTCCCAAACTTAAATAGGTAGTCAGTGACTGGTCTTCTTGTTTCTACAAAGGCTCCCCAATCAGAGTCACAGTAGCTAGTGAGTTGCTTAGTGTCTCATGTAGGCATAATCAATCCTAGACCAGGAGCTTCTTTGATATATCTCACTACACTTAAAGTTGTTTCCATATGAGATACTTTAGGGCAATGCATATATTGACTTAATACCTGCACTACAAAAGCAATGTCAGGTATGGTTATAGTTAGATACAATAATCTCCCCACAAATCTTTGATAGCTACTGGGATCTTTAACCTGCTTTATCCCCACTTGATTCCTTATATTTGTTACGCTCATCATATTTTATTGATGTGAGTTTCTGGTTTAGTTCTAGTGGAGTCCCGACTAGTTTAGCACCTCCTAAACCTGCCTCAGCAACTAGCTCAAGGGCATATTTCCTTTGACACATAAAATGTGTTTATTTGATCTTGCAAATTCAATACCAAGAAAGAACTTTAACTCCCCTATATCTTTCATCTTGAACCTCCGCTGTAGTTTGCACCTAGTGTCATTAATCAGACTTGGATTATTTTCAATGACCAATAGGTCATCCACATACACCAGAACTATCACCACATCACCTGCAACCTTCTTGGTAAATAGGGAATAGTCATAGTGACTTTGTTCAAATTCCATTAACATCGGAGCTTCAGTAAGCTTCAAATTCCATTGCTTAGGAGCCCGTTTAGGATCATATAGAGATTCGCGTACTTTCTTGACCTTTTGACTCTGTTCCTGTCTAGCAAACCCTTCAGGAATTACCATAAAAACTTCCTCTAGGAGATCACCATTGAGGAAGGTATTATGCACATCCATCTGATAAATGAGCCACTGCTTTAAAGATTCAAGAGCAATAATAGATCGAACTGTCACCATCTTAGCTACAAGTGAAAAAGTTTTACCGTAGTCTAAGCCTTCATTTTGGCTATAGCCTTTGGCTACCAACCTGGCCTTAAATCTCTTTATCTCCCCGAAGCTTTATGCTTGATCTTAAAAATCTATCTGCAACCAATAAGCTTCTTCCTAGGAGACAAATCCATAATACTCCAGGTGTGATTGTCTTCTAGCGTTGCTATATCAAGCTTCAAGGCATCCACCCATTTAGAATCATTGGATGCCTCTAAGAATGATTGAGGTTCATTACATGCAGAGTAAGCTAAAAGAATATGACAGTATAAATGAGTGATATGTGAGTATATCACATGAGCTAAGATAGGATAAGCACATTTGGATACTTTGGATTGGATTACATAGTCCTATAGCCACAGAGGGGGCCTACTGGTTCTAGAGATTTTTTGAGTTCTTGTGTACTCAGAGTATCAATCATAGGAGCTTCACTTGCAGGTAGAACTTCAGTTGTGTTTGAATGATGGAACTGATTAGGATCATAATCATCTTCGAGGCTGCTGGAGAAGGTTTTGAGACATTGTGGGGATTTGTGGTAGGGGAAAATGAGTTGTTAAGAGCAGAAAGAACAAACTCCAACACAAGAAATAAAGGATTGCTGACTTGTTTAATGTGCTTAAAAGGATAGATTTCCTCTTGAAATGTAACATTTCTATTGACTAGGAATGCTTTTGAGTAAATATCATACAAGATATAACCCTTCTGAGTAGATGAGTACCGCATAAGAACTGTTGGTATAGCTCTAGGTGAAAACTTGTCATGCACTTGGGGACTGGATGCATAGCACAGGCACCCAAAGACTCTTAAGTGTTGTTGTGGAGGAATATGCAAATAAAGCATTTCAAAAGGAGTCTTGTCCCAATCACCTTAGAAGGAAGTCGATTGATGAGGTATAAAGTTGTAGTTACACACTCACCCTAGAATCTTAGAGGGATTGAAGCTGGAAATCTGAAAGTCCTGGTCATTTCTAGGATTGTTCTGTGTTTCCTTTCCATAACTCCATTATGTTGTGGAGTATATCCACACAAACTCTGATGTATGATCCCAAGAGTGGCTAGCAAATATGTAAACTCATTGTTGAAGAACTCACTTACATTATCAGTTCTCAAGTACTTTATACCAGTAGCGAACAAATATTTTGCTTTTACTAAGAAGTTTTCCAATAGTATTACAGCTTCAGACTTAGAGTTAATAAGAAATATCCAAGTATATCTAGAGTAGTCATCTACTAGAGTGACAAAAAATCTCTCCACATCATAGGTTGGCACCCTGTTGGGTCCCCAGATATCACAATGTACTAATTCAAAAACAGACTTAGTAGTTGAATTACTCAGGTGAAAAGACAGTTTGTATTGCTTTGCCAAGGAGCACACAGTATATTGTTCATGAGTACATGTTTTCACATCACTGATTACATTGAGCTTTTTTTATTATATCTACAGGGGAATGGCCCAACCTTTTATTCCACAGATTACTAGTGGAGCAAGTACTAGAATTAACAGTAGTACTAGAGCTAGAACTAGACTCAGAATCAGAAGATACACCAATTGAATTGAGACACTTTTCAACATACTTTGTGGAGGAGTTATGAAATGCTTCTCCTTGTAGAATGTATAGTCCAGGATTCTCCCCACCAATACCCTTCACCTGACCACTACAGAGATCGTGAAAAATACAAAAGAAGGCAACAAAGCACTTATAAAGCCCGAGAAATTTTTTTCTAACAAAATTAAGCCTAATTCGATCTTAAGATAATAATTTGTAAGGCCTCAAAGTACGTGCAGGCCCACACGAGGGTATCGAGATCATTAAAATACTTGTACATGAATATTATGAGGGTTGAAGGTCACTAAGTTGCATGAATAAAGGCATAGCTTGGAATGATGGAGAAAAAAGGGAAGAAGGAAACCTTGCAAGCCTGCGTAGCCTTCTTGCGTGGCCTACGCAAGCTGCGTAGGCAAAATCAGCATGGAAGGGGAGGGCTTAATCTGCGTAGGACTACACAATCGTGCGTAGCCAATCTATGTAAGCTACGCGACACATTTTCTATAAAATATGGGAGATTGGGGGAGAGGGAAAAAGATAACATTTATGGCTAAGTCTTGGATTCTAAAGAGAAGGTGGAACATTCTTGACACAAATATACATCAAAGGTGAGTTTTATGTTATTCTTATAATGGATTAACACTAGTTAATGGTAGTATTAACATTTACATGGATTGAAATTCATAGGGATTCATCTAATCTTCAAGAATCATTCAAAAGGGTTCAAGTTAGGGTTTGAGCTACAAGAGGTAAATTCTCTACCCTACACTTAAATACAACTATGAAAAGCATTTGGAATGTATTGTGAATTAGAAAGTACCAATTGGTTGAAGAATTATGTTAGTCCTTGAAATGGGTATTGTGAATTAGGGTTCTTAAATGGGGGAAAAGATGAATAATAAATTTCTGAATATTTTTAGGATGGTTGATGATTATATTGCTTCAATAGCTTAATAATGATTAATTATTGAATCTTATAACCTAGATTGGGGCTTAAAGGCCAATGATGGAATTAATTAAGGATAAAAGGGATATGTTTGGGTGAATTGGGTTTTTCAAAAACTTATAGTCAACTTGTTAATCTTAAATGGTATCGACATATATATTTGGATAATTTTTTATGTCTTGGAAGGTGTACTGTAGATAATGGCTTGTTGGCGATGTTTGAGAGTTCTAAATGATTGGAGCGTCATACTATTATTTGAAGCTTGGACTTCCGTACTTGTGGGGACAAGCGGGAAAGGATGTCACCATTTATTTTGAGTTGTGTTGTATAAAGAAGGTCTTGTTATTTTATAATTAAAAACTCTATTTTTTTTAAAGATTTGATGTTAAATGATGCTTGAGAAAACGTTATAATTTTTATTTAAACCTATGTGTTGGAAAGAATATAAAATACTTGAGTGCTAAAGATGTATTTTATGAAAAGTATTTCTTTTGAAACTTGATTAATGGATAACACTCGTCATATCATTTAATGATGGATGTTAAAATGCTAAAGGCTTTAACATGAAGAATATCATGCAGTTGATTGTTTTTATTCAAATGGTTTAGTTTGTCCATGAGCTATGATTTGATAAAAATTGATCTTTTAAGGCTACTATTCTATGAATCTATTTTAGAGATATCAAATGTTTTGGGAGTTACTAGTGGAGACCATCGAGATTGGTTCAAATGTTGAGTTCATTACCATGGAACTACGCGTGTTAGTGTAGGGAAACATTCCAAGGCTAAGCCGAGGTTTGTGGGATAAAGTCCCCCATTGAGAGGTCAAATGATCATTACTTAAAGTAATGAGGTTAAGTCGACTCGTACGGTACTATGAGAAGCCGCCCAAACAAGTAGGGTCAAATACTTGTTACTAGGTTGATCACTTAGTAGTTATTTATTATGTCGGTGTCGGTGGCAGTGTCGGTGTAGTACTCCCGGTAAAACGTTAAAAGATAATTTTGTTATGTTTAGGCGTAAGGAGCCGAAAAATGATTTCAATGACTTAATAAGTTGAAATGATTTTGCATGATTTTTATTAGAATCATGGTTGATATAAATATTTTAAAAGTTTGTATCATGATTTATATTTGTCACGACCACAACCCGGACCCGGTCGTGATGGCGCCTCTCTGGAGATAAGGACAGCCGACACATTTCCAATCCAATTTTAAGCAATTTAACAATAGGCATTTAATCTTAAACATGCTATAAATCCAAAAGTAAGCAGTGACAATACAAATAATTTGCGGGATACAATCCAACACAGCCCGATACCGAGTGTCACTAGTCATGAGCATCTAAAAATTCGGAATAAGACAAGAAAATCTACAGAGTTCAATACAAATATAAAACAAAGAGAAATAAGATAAGGGAAGAAGCTCTAGGCTGCGAACGCCGACAGCTACCTAGAGAATCTTTGGATCCGCCCGAGATGGAAAGATCAACACTCACTAGCAGGATCAGCAACGTCTGAATCTGCACACGGGGTGCAGGGAGTAAAGTGAGTACTCCAACTTAGTGAATAGTAATCATAAATAAACAAATGAGAGATACAAAAACATGTAAGGCACATTACAGGCTATAATGAAGCAGTAAAACTAGTAGAAGCAGTGAAGCAGTGATAATGTGTAAAGTCATTTTTAATTTAGTTCAAACTTCATGAAATACCTTTTTAACAATTAAGCAAGTAAATGACAGATAAATAAGATAGATAATCACATAAAGTATTGCCCCTCGGGCACAATGTCAACAATACCAGCCCTTCGGGCTATCTCTCACATCACAATGGGTACTCACGCTCACTGGGGGTGTGCAGACTCCTGGAGGGGCCCATTACGACCCAAGTGCAACATCAAGCCATCTCGTGGCATCATCACTAGGCCCTCGGCCTCATATCAACAAGCCACCTCGTGGCATACATATCTCAGGACCTCGGCCTCATAATCATAATTAGTGCTTCTTCACAACATAGACCCTCGACCTTACTCCGTCAGAATCTCACAACCACTCAGGCAACAATAAAATATAGTGCTCAGCCCAAAATATCATTTAAGATGTCATTTAAGTGTTAAAGCAGAGTAAACATGACTGAGTTATGAAAAAGTAGAATATAGCATGTTTGAGTTCAAGTATAAAGTCAAAATAGTGAGGAAATATCAATAAAAATTTCCTAAGGGTTCAAATAGTTGGCACGAAGCTCAAATATAGCATTTAGCCAAAAATATGATGATAGCAAATAGTTTTCAATCAAATACACGGTAAAACAGTCATTCGGGACGGACTAAGTCACAATCCCCCAACAATGCATGATTCCACGCTCGTTATCTAGCGTGTGCGTCACCTTAATATAGCACAATGATGTGCAATGTGAGGTTTCATTCCCTCAGGACATCATTTACAATCATTACTCACCTCAATTCGGTCCAAATCTAGCCCGTGACGCCTTTGCCCCTCGAATCGGCCTCCACTCGCCTCGAATCTAGCCAAAATTAGAATCACGACATCAAAATATTCTAAGGGAACGAAGCCCAAGCAAAAATAAGCAATTTACAACTTAAATCCTGAAATTACCGAAACCCGACCTCCGGGCCCACGTCTCGGAATTCGAAAAAATTCACATCAATAGATTCATCATCTCCCCATGAGTTCATACATATCAAACTTACCAAAATCCAACCACAAATGATCCCCAATTCTAACCCTTAAATTCTATTAATTATAGCTCTAATCGTTGAAATAATACCATAGGAACGAGTTTTAGGTCCAAAATCCTTACCTCAATGAAGTTCCCTTAAAATCCTTCTTCAAAATCGTTCAAAAAGCTCCAAAGCCGACTTAAAATGGTGGAATAGCTCAAAAATCGCGAAGGAAACAATTTATATGTTTTGGCCCAGACATTTTTGCATCTGCGGTACTGCTTTTGCGGTCCAAGAGCCACTTCTACGGTTTTCACTTATCCTCCAGCTTTCCGCATCTGCGATGCACCAGCTGCACCTGCGCCATCGCGGGTGCAGTTCACCAACCACTTCTGCAGTTTTTGCCTCCCTCACTTTCTTCCGCTTCTGAGGCCTTCCCCTCGCATCTGCGGCATCTCACCTGCGGTCCCCAATCCGTAGGTGCAAAAATACCAGAAGCAAAAAATCTGCAGCTTCTACAAAAATTCCAAACTCTCTGTCAACCATCCGAAACCACCCCGAGGCCCCTAGACCTCAACCAAAAGCACAAACATATCACATAACCTTATTCAAACTTATAAAAATCTTCAAAATACCTCAAACAATATCGGATTAACCAAAACACATCGGATTCAAGCCTAAGTTTCCAAATTCTTCCGAATTACGCTTTTGATCAAAAACCCAACTAAACCACGTCCTAATGACCTGAAATTTTGCGCACATATCCCAAATGACAAAAAGGAACTACTGCAACTCTCGGAATTCCATTCCAACCCCTATACCTAAATCTCACCTATCAACCGGAAATCGCCAAAATACCAACTTCGCCAATTCAAGCCTAAATCTACTCCGAACCTCCAAAACTCATTCCAATCACGCTCCTAAGTCTCAAATCACCTCCCGAAACTATCCGAACCATCAAAATTTACATCTGAGCCCTCTAAAACATAAGTCAACATCCGGTTGACTTTTCCAACTTAAGCTTCCTCAAAAGAGACTAAGTGTCTCAAACCTTACCAAAACCTTTCCGAACCCAAGTCAACCAACTCGATCACATATAGAACCGATAGACAAAGCAGTAAGAAGCAGAAATGGGGGAAATTGAGTGGTAACTCATGAGACAACTGGTCGGGTCGTCACAATATTTCTAGTTTTTTTCATTTAAAATGATAAAGAGCATGAATTGATATAATTGTTATTATTTTATATCGAATGTTAGTTGCATTATTTTTGTAAAGCCTTGTCCCAGGAACTTGAGTTAGAGAGAGTCTATGACACTTATCGAGTACCGTCATAGTGTACTCAGTCGTCAGGGGCCCCTCTCCAGGGTCCCGCTTACTTTATATGTTTAGGATGAGGTGTGGTACGTAATGAGTGGATGAGACTAGGATGACTCTCTTTACGAGGTGCATGGTGATGCACCACTTCTATTTCGTGGTAGCTGTCATGTTGATTCTTTATTCTCTCTTGGTCGGGATTGTCCAAAGTGTTTATTTTATTCTTATGTCTTAGAGATTCCATAGACTATTAGTATTCTTTTAGGGTTGTAATTAATGATCATTCGTATATCATGAAATAAAAGAGACATTGTTATCCTTATGTATTTTCAATTATTGAAAATGATATATTAAAGATTATACTTCATGTATGATTTTAATCATTTAAAATGATTATGTTTTCAAAGTGGCTTCCGTATGCATCTATTAGTCATATAGATGGATATTCTAGTATGGATTGGTTTACCCGAGTTGGATAGTATGTCGGGTGCCAGTCACGTGATCTTGGGTCGTGAAAAACTTGGTATCAGAGCACTAGGTTCTAATTTGAGTCCTATAAAGTCTATGGAACCGTGTCTAGTACAGTTCTCCTGTCATGACCCCAAATCCTTCCATAGGATGTCATGATGGCGCCTAGTCTCTAAGACTAGGTAAGCCTAAGAAACGTGCAATATAACTGAATAAAAATTTAAATCTAAAAAAAATATCAACAACTATATGAAATAAAATCTGCAACCCAACATGTACATCTCCTAAAACCCGGTGAAAATATAAGTTACAAGCTCTAGATACATTACTGAACACTCCTATACATCACTATCTATAAAGACGTAAAGAAATAAGAAAAGAACAGGGTAGAAGGGGACTCCAAGACCTGCGGACGCGAGCAGATGTATCTTGAACTCTCCAAGTAGGTAACTCACGCGCTAATACCGAGGCTGAAAAGATGTACCTGGATCTGCACAAAACATGTGCAGAAATATAGTATGAGTACACCACAATAGTGTCCAGTAAGTGCCAAGCCTAATCTCGGTAGAGTAGTGATGAGGTCAGGTCAATGCCTTACTAGAGATAATAAGAAACAAGACAAGAGATATAATGATATAATAAAAATGAATGGAAAGTGAAATAATAAAGAATTTACGGGAAGTAACAACACGGAATCAAGGAAAACTACTACAGCACGAAAGGAAAATAAGAATTTTACACGTTAAGAAAACAACAACTAAACAATACAACAAATAAAGAATATCAACATGGGTACTCCTGAGGTACCACCTTAGTCCTAAATCATAAAATTAACTCACAGTCTTTTCCTTATATTACCACGGGAGCCTTTACATTTAGTTTTGAAAATTATTTTTTCCAAAATTGCAACTCGCGTTTTAGCCCACCTTATCACTGTTGAGGAAGGCATTATGCAGATTAATGAGCCACTACTTTGAAGCTATAAGGGAAATAATAGATCTAACTGTCACCATTTTAGCTACAGGTAAATAAGTTTCACTGTAGTCTAACCCTTCCTTTCGGATATAGCCTTTGGCCACCAGCCTGGCCTTAAATCTCTCCATCTCCCCTAAAGCTTTATGCTTGATCTTAAAAATCCATCTGCAGCAATACGCCAGGTCTGATTGTTTTCTAAGGTTGCTATCTCAAACTTCAAGGCATCCACCCATTTAAGATCTTGGACTGCCTCTAGGAATGATTGAGGCTCAGTGCATGCAGAGTAAGCTAATAGAATCTGATAGTATGAAGGAGTGATACGTGAGTATGTTATATGAGCTGAGATAGAATAAGCACATTTGGATATTTTGGATTGGACTACATAGTCATGTAGCCACAGAGGGGGCCTACTGGTTCTAGAGTACTTTCTGAGTTCTTGTGTACTCAGAGTATCAACCGTAGGAGATTTACTTGCAGGTAGAACTTTAGTTATGTTTGGATGATAGAACTGATCAGGAGCATTGTCATCTTCTGACGCCGTTGGAGAGGATTGTGAGACATTGTGAGGATCTATGGTAGGGGAGACTGAGTTGTTAAGATCATAAGGAACAAACTCCAGTACAGGAAACAAAGGATTGTTGACTTGTTTAATGTGCTTAAAATGATAGATTTCCTCCTGAAATGTAACATTTCTATTGACTAGGAATGTTTTTGAGTAAAGATCATACAATATATAACCGTTCTAAGTAGATGAGTAATCCATAAGAATTGCTGGAATAGCTCTAGGTGAAAATTTGTCATACAATTCGGGACTGGTTACATAGCACAAGCACCCAAAGACTCTTAAGTGTTGTAGTGAAGGACGATGCAAATAAAGAATTTCAAAAGAAGTCTTGTACCTAATCACTTTAAAAGGAAGTCAATTGATGAGGTATACAGCTGTAGTGACACAGTCACCCCAGAATCTTAAAGGGATTGAAGCTTGAAATCTGAAAGTCGTGGCCATTTCTAGGATTGTTCTGTTCTTCCTTCCCACAACTATATTATGTTATGGAGTATATATACATGAACTCTGATGTATGATCCCCAAAGTGGCTAGCAAAGATGTAAACACATTGCTGAAGAACTCACTTACATTATCAGTTCTCAAGTACTTTACACCAGTAGAGAACAGGTTTTTTGCTTTTACTAAGAATTCTCTCGACACTACTACAGCTTTAGACTTAGAGTTTGATAGTTTATACGAGTCTCACCAAACTATATAGTACCTGGTCCTCTAGGTGTTTTTACTGAGAATGCTACTAAAACAGTAGTAAATGAGACACAGGATTTTTACGTGGAAAAATCCCACATAAGGGGACAAAAACCACGACCTACACTTGTAGGCTTTCAACTTCACTAACTTGTAAACACTCTATTACAAGCCACTTGTAATGACTTTATTACAAAGACTTCAACTCAACTAACTTATGATACTCTTACCACAAGCCACTTTTTCACTCACTAGTTACAAAGACTTCAACTTATGACTAACTCTAGTCACATCACAAACTCAGAAAGTTTATGGTTTTACAAAGGAGTTCCTAAGTAATGCTTCTAGCTAAGCAATTTAGGAATTACAATAAGAACACTCACAAATTCAACTCAACTAAGGACAATAAAATACTAGATTTAGGACCTGGTCCGTAGTAGCGTTTAACTTTGTTCTTCAAGCTCTTGAGAATTAAGTTCATTATTTTGCAGAAGGCTTGAATGCTTGAAGTAAATTGTCAATTGTTCAAGTGATGTTTTGATATAATATTCTTGTTAATACACCTTGATGACATCACTTGAATGATGTAAGCCCTTTAGTTGGTCAAAGGACAAGTGACCGCTGGAAATAGTGTAGGCAGTCACATCGCTTTCTAGTTGTGTCCAATTGACTTCGTACTACTATGAGGGAACCACAAAGGTATCAGGTCCCTGTTTGGTTTTCTATCTCCTGAAGCTATAGCAGTTCACATTTAGCTAGAATCCGTTGATTTTCAATGTAGCCCAAGTGTGTCAGGTTCCCTATCTGGTTCTTGACAATAAGTTTGTTAGATCATCAAAACATAAGGAAAGACATTGAAAATCCATCAATTTCCCCCTTTTTTATGATGATAAACTTAGACATTGATAACATGTATTTAAAGCAAAGAGAACCAGATAAAGTAACAGGTACTTCACAAGTTCCCCCTTAATCAGATTCTTATCCTTGATTCAATTATACTTCCCCTTTTGGCATCATTAAAAAGGCACAAGCAGCCAAACAACATAAAAAAAGTCTAGCCTAGGTAACCCATGCCACATATGTGCACACAATATGATAGAGAAGAGAAACAGGAAATTCAAGCAATGGGATATAAAAGAGGATAGATTTTATATATTGAAAACATATGCCTTTGCTTAAAAAGCAAAGGCAGAATTGGACTGTTAAAAACAGGAGTAGCACTGTTATATCCTAACCACATAAAAAAAAAGAAACAAAACATCTGCCAAATCAAAAAAAAATATTCCTGAAACTGGTCACTGAAGGGGTTACTTAGGGGCACTAGGAGTAGAGGGCTTGGAAGCTGCAGCAAGAGTTTGGAGAACTAGGTCTATTTGGGTATTTGCCGACTTTTTCTCATTGAGCAGTTCTGCTTTCAGGTTCTCCACTTGTGCCCTGAGATCAACATTCTCTTTTGTCAAACGAGCCACTTCCTTATTTGACTCCGGAGCCCCTTGGGCCTGCTGACCTTCCAGGATAACATTCCTAGTTTTCAACCTTTGAATATCCTCAGTTGCGCTATTTTGAGAATTAATGAGCTGTGAGATGGTTTATGTATTGCCTAACCCCCCCATTATTCTCTATGCACTTACATTCTTCCAACGTTGTCTTTGAGAAAGTCTGCTTCTTGGTTCCTACCATGGTTTGCCCCAGTGGCACTTTGAAAAACTTGAATACTTGAGTAAGTAGAAACCCGTATGGAAGACCATGATTGCCATCTTTGAAGGTTGCTACCTTCTGCATATGTTTGATTATTATAGCAGGCAAGTTCACATGGTTGAAGCCATCAGTTGTTCCATGATAAACAGATTGTAAAGCCCCAGAAAAAAATTTGCTTAGTAATTTAAGATTTCGTGGTGCCAAGGTAGGCCAAATATTTTATCTTACGTACAAATGAGGATTAAGGATATTATGGATATCAATTGGATATGTTAAGAATTGTATAAGTCATATTAGAGGTGAATTGGGGTCTAAGGAGAGGCCTAAGTCTAAGCCAAGTTAGAAAAGTTTCATATTAGACGAAATCTGTAAATGAGTGCGCACAAGACCTCACTTTGAACTTTCATATCTCCAGTTATATAAGGACTTGTGTGATGAATAACATATAAAATTAAAGCCCTTTGAGTCTAGTTTCCAACTCAATAAACCATTCGTCATTTGGAGGTGTATACGGAAAGTTATGACCATTTTACTGGGCATATGTCTCTAGCACGAACATTAGCGCGAAGTCACACATTATGCTGAGTATTCTGCCTCCCGGGCGCGAACATAGCGCGAGCTCGCGTGCCTGGAAGGTTTTTAAATATCCTAAAGACCGGAAATAAGAGAATTTGAGTCATTTCTCAAGCTTAGGGCTTCCTCTACACCCCCAACTCGACCAAGGCATCCAATTGCACACATAAGATGAGTTTTTTAAGTGTGTTTTCATGGTGATTTCCCTTCTCAATCACTAGTTACAACATGATTTTGATTGGGTTTCATAGGGTTTCTTCAAAATCTCAAGAACACCCCAAATTTGTCTTTCAAGATTTGGTCTACAAGAGGTAATCATACACCTTAGACTTACATATATGGAGTTATTATGGAAATATGAGTATGGATTAAGTATTGTAACTCATGGGATGGGGATTGGAAGTCATAGGTGCGTAACCTAGGTGGTGTTAGTATTCTAGAGATTGTGAGGTGGGTTATTGAGGTATGATTCTTGGGGTAATAGTATTATATATACATGCATGTACAAATTAGGTTTGTGGGAAGATTGATGAATATAAATAAGTAAAGATTGGGTTGGGGAAAGAAGAAAATCTTGTAAAAGGAATTTAAAATCAAGATGCTCAACTAGTGTTTGATTAAATGCTCAAATGAGCTGAAACCATAAATACCTTCCTAATTTGTGTTAATTTTGTTATGTCTCAAGTAGATTGGGATTGCTAGAATTTTCGAAACGTCGTAGTAACTTAAGGAAAGCTCAAACGAGGTATGTATGGCTAACTTTGACCTTTGTAAAGTCACTTTGTTTGGTGTACGAATATTTGGTATGTGATATCTACGTGGATTATTTGTGGAATTCTTGTGATTGGTATGATTTGATTGTTCGTGGTTAAGTCTCCCGATATAATGGTGTACGTAATTGGCAATAAACCAAATGTGTGATTGTGAATGTGTTATGTGGTAAGAGTTGAGAAACAAATGATGGAAGGAAATCGTAAATGATGCAGTTGGAACAACTGTGGTAATAACATATATGGCTTGTATTGGCAATTATCGCGGTGACATAAAATGCATATGAGTTGTTGAATATGATGGAAATAGTATTGATAGCTATAGAAATTCTTTGAGAATTGTTGTTGTTGTTCTTTGTGAATTGTTGCTGTTGTTGTTGTGTTGTTTGTGAATTGTGATTGTTCGGTGGGATCGGGTTGCGTGCCGCAACACGAAGTAATAAGGTGTGGGTTGTGGTGATAAGGGTGGCCGAGGTAATAAGGGTGGAAAAGTGATCGAAATCACTATTGAAATGAAAATATGAGAAAGTTGTGAAATCATTGATGTGAAAATGTTGAAGGGGAAATGGAGAGGTTGTAACTTGTTTGGCTTGATGGTTTTCTTTCATGTGTATTTGATTGTTGGTTCCATTACTACTTCTTACTTATGTATGGTTTGAGTTTACTTAGGGCAAGTTTGTTCATACATATCAGTACAATTCAAATATGCTGACGTCCCTTTTGCCGGGGGTGCTACATTCGTGTTATGATTGTAGGTGGACCATAGCAGGTACTCCAGTCCACCGACCGTAGCTCCCCTTCACTTTCCGCCAGAAGCATTGGTGAGCCCTTTTCC